CCCCAAAACCCCAAAACCCCAAAACCCCAAAACCCCAAAACCCCAAATAAATGGAATGGCATTGAATAAAAAGAATAAAATTTAAAGCAGATATCACCACGATTTCTGATGTTATGAAAACACCTAGTTAATGACAAACTCCTCTGATACTAGAGTTGACAAGTGATTTAATTGTAGAAGTTGAGCTACAGGTTTTCTTCGATTTTGGTTTTCTCTTCCTATACTTTTTAGATCCTCCCTTCTTAGTATCCATCTTTATCTCTATATCCGCTAAGCTTCTCACAATATTTATAAGACCATTATTTTCAGTAGTTTTGCTCTGAAAAGAGGTGTTTAGTAAAGTAGCCTGTCTACCAATATTCATCTTCTTAAAATATTTCCCGTGGCAAAAAGATTTTTCAGAAGGTGAAACTTCTTCAGATGGAGAATTCTCGTGGATAACGTAATTTCTTAAGTGATCCGCTTCAGAGAGGCTCCTCTTATGATTCTTTATATAGCTTTGCTCAGAATAGCTGTTCATTCTGATATTTTTAAAGATAGTATTATAAGCCTCAAAACTTTGGCCCATGTCATCTTGGTTATCAACCAAGGTTTGAGATTTTGAATTATTTTCCCACCCAGATAATCTTCCAGAATCTTCAGAGTTCTGGAAGCTTTCTTGGCTGGTCTCAGAATTTTCGAATTCCATCAGAGATTTCTTTAAGTTTTCTATAAATTCATTCTGTTTACGAATTTCCATAATTCGTTCAGAAGTTTCAGGCTGACGTGAACAAGTATCCATGATGTGTTTGTTATTAACATTCTCAATTTGGTAATTAGCTGAGAGTTTAAAATCCAACAAATCATTTGTACAGTTAGTGACGTTGGCTAATTTCGGTGAAAAATGTCCACTACCATATTTCTGGCAAGTATCCATACCTTCAGTAGTATTTTCTAGAGGCTGGGTAGCAGTTTTATTGAGATAATTTAGAGATTCATTAAAGTTGTCTGATTCACAGATTCAAATAGGTTTTGCATCATTTAAATTACTGGGTGATTTGTGACTACCATCATTTTCATGAATATTTCTGGAGCATTTATCTGAACCCTTATTTTGGTTACTCAAGCAATTAGATGAGGTCTCTGAAGCATGGGGGCTTTTATCCTCTCTAATTATATCAGGTTTATCGTATTTTAGCAAAGATTTTCCTTCGTTTCTGGCATTTGAATTTGCAGTTTCATTACAGTTATTACAATATTTTCGTAAAGAAATCTGCATTGTTGATTTTATGTACTTAGGAGTTTCCGGATTTCAGAGTTCACTTTTCTGCTTACACAAAATGTCTTGGTTTGCATTTAGGTTATCCTGTGAAGCCAAGTCTTTGACATCTTCACTTTTTTGTAATTGGTTTACACAGTCAGTTTTACATATTTCCTGACGTGGACCTGTATAAGCCTCTTTACTATGTAAAATATCTGAATTTGATTTCGCCTCTGCTTGTAGAGGTAATCCTGAATTAGAAGATTTTTGAGTTAATCGAGACCAATATTGGGATTGGGCGTCTCTCAAAGACCAATAATATGGCTGCCTTCTCTTTGGCGGGTTTCAGCCAGTTCGATTCATTAAAATTTTAATATTTATAGTTACCCAATACCAATTACTTTTACTGGGGTTTTGGGGTTTTGGGGTTTTGGGGTTTTGGGG